GGACCCTCCCCACCTTGTCCCTTGTGGCGTTCTGTGTGGGATATGTTTGGGCCCGTGATGCAAGTTCTGGCAGGTTTCCCACCCGCCCAAACGAGTGATCGTGTTCGGCGGGTATCAAAATCATGTTTGAGGGCTTCTTATTGTTTGCCTGGAAAGGACATGTTGATGCCTTAAAATGATTGCATTTTGATTGGACATCACAATTATCTTGCGTGCGGTTTCCCTTCGAACCACCGTGTAGAGGATATCTTAGAGGAACTCGCTTTTAGGTGATAAGAAGCCCACTCAAAAAATGCCGACATTGGACGGGCATGTGTGGTTCCTGTCGTGGACATAGGGCAATTCTTGAGTTGTGTGCTTTTTTGTGGGATCCCATGAATTGACCAAAGCTACTCGGTACCCAGAACTGAATAAACAAGCCCGGCACCTCCCATCCCGAAACTCCCAAAGTCCAGTTCTTCCAGTTGCCACCATGGGTAACCCTTGCAGTTCCTTGCCTAGGTCCTCCTGTAGAGAGGTTAGAATGAGGCTACCAACTTTTTTCTGTAGTCTATTTTGGTAGGGGAACCCTCCCAACCAAAAAAGAAACGGTAAAAGGGCACCTAGCTGGGGGACCTACTGTGGATGGACGGAATCCTGCATGGGAAACCATTGTTTGTTGGCATTTACGGGGGAATCGACCCATTCCAGGGTTTCTGAACGGTGCAGGATGTTTTATCCATCCACTGTAGCTTAACCCTTAAAACTCCAAGCCCTGGGGACTTTAATCCTTTACAGACATATAGCCCATGTTACCCGGAAGGTTGAAAAGTTGTGTTTTTAAGGGGTAAGGTAGTTTTACACGATGGCTCCCCATGGTTACCCATGGCTTGCCATGAAAAGCCTTGGGTTGGTGACTCGCCATGGCGCCAGCTCGTAGCTCTTGGTCCGGAGCTTCTGCTCGGGCGGTGTGCCAACCTCGGTCGCAGCCGGCAGCCTCTCAGCCGGCAGTACACTGAAGCTTCTTTTCCCTAAGCTCTAGGTGTGACGAAGCCGGACAGAAACATTTCTATTGTTATGACCTTGAAAGCAGTCAAATCACACCAGTGAAACAACATGAAGATAAACTACGGGTTTTAAAGGGTACCGAAGGTGCTTTGACCCTTACCCCCCGTTCAAAACAATGCTCAACACGTGCTTGGACCCTATATTGCATGGGCATGTGCTTTGGGTGGGTGTCCACCAATCCTTTAAGAGGGTGTGCCCCTACAGAATTCATAGCTGTGTGAGTTGCGGACAAAATCCGGTTGCCTTAAAGACATGTTGGAGAAGACTGGAAAGCAGACTCAGGCAGCTGATTACTGTAGTCATATTTTGTAGAGTGGCAGCGTAGTAACGCTCAACCCATCAAAAAGAGAAACATCTGCAACCACAGCATACTATTCGAAGCGTATGGCATCCTTCAAGGGGTAGCGGGACCTCTGATAAATCGAGGACTAGACCCGCCCCAAAAGAGAACTGCACGGAACCCTAAGCTTCCAACCACAGGTTCCTCCAGACGCAAGGACCATGCCAGGATGTTTATTCTGCGGGAAAGGAGGACCTCAGCATCGGGTGGGGAAACTGGCCCGGTGCATATTTCTTCCAAAAACACCATCGGATGGCATTGGTTTCTTCAGGTCTCCTTGTATGTCTGTCAACACCCCAAAGAGGAAAACTGCTAGTGGGCAACACTTCCCAAATGTGAGTCATTGCCATGGCTCCCTCAGTGGAAAACCCTAACTGACAGTGGTTGCGAAAGTTGATGTTTACGCTGCCCGAGTTTGGGACATACGACTTCTCAAAGTTCGGCCCTGGTCGGGCTTCCCTTGGGTTGCGCCGATCCAAAAAGCACAATATCCATGTTGGCGGTGAACCTCACTCGGCTTCGCTCACTCGGCTTTCCGGCTACACGACCGGCGGCCGCATCCGCCGGCAATGCCTGAGGCATGGGAATTCTAGACGACTGCTTTGATGCCCCATCTGTGGCTTCCACCACTTACCAGTGTTTGGCAAATTGGATTACTGAAGAGGAATCCACAGGTTTCTACACGTGGCTTTCGTAGAACAAATGAACCCGTTTTAAGGTTGACTGTTTGCAGTCAGGAAGTCACCAAACACAAAAGGGAAGAGGTGCCACTGAAGAACCGGGAAATGCTGGGCGAACTAGAATCATTTACCAGCCTGGAAGAAGACATGGACTCCTTGGAAAGAAGCCTTCGTCGTGGTAAGGGGAAAACTGAGTGGATCCTTGGAATTGGTGACCCTAGGCATGATGAATGGACATTTGATGGCAAACGTCCACAGAACACGTAAAACTTATCTCTGAAAGAAAAAAGGCTTGCGCTTTTGGCACCATGGAAGATAATCGGAAATTCACGAGATCAAGCCCCAGTGAGCATACGAGCCATGTGGCAAACAGCCAAACGTCCAGGTAGAAGGATCTCAGCAACCCAAACAGAAAGCAACGCATGGAACCCATAAGCCCCAAGGCTGTGCCAACGTGATTCTGTACGGTGAAAAACCTACAACGTTCCTAACAACAAACACTGCAAAACAGACAAAATGGTGCTACAAACAAAGAACAAACCAAAATCTGAAGCAGGGCAAAGGGCGATCATTGCCGTCATGTTGCAGATCGGTTTTGCTGTTCTAGCATTTCACTTAAATCATCGGCAGCATCCCAATCCCTGGGCGCCCAAACCCATGCGGGCAGTGGCACCGGCTTCGTGACCTCCTCCGTGCCTCGGGAGGGAGGCGCAGCAAGGAGTGCCTCTCTAAACGGGCCGTCCGATTTCCAACTTTCCTCATGAGTTTCTGCAGATTTCCGATTTCTGTCCATGGGTTTATGAAGATTTCCAACGTCCCCCATGAGTTGTGAAGATTTCCGATTTTCCCAGTGAGTTTATCTAAAAAAATAAACACGATTTTCCCCATGGGCTTATGAAGCTGGATTCGAATCTATCCGCTCACTTCTTGGACAAAACCGGTCTGAGTTGTGGTATTTTCACCCCTCAAGCGATCTTCCCAAACAGCAGAGGAAGTCCAGAAGCTGAGGAAGCAGAAGAGGCCAAACTTGCAGGCACCCCACGAAACACCCCTCAAACAATGTTAAGACCATGAGAAAAATACAGGAAATAAAAACACGTATAATGTATATATGTCTATAATATATGTATATATATAACAATATATCATATCTTTACATAATATGCTATGCCCCTCTGCAAGGGACCTACCTGTTTTCCTCTCCAGATCATGGTTTGCCCATCTAGGACTAGAACCAGGGATCTCTCAACTAGGACTAGGACCAAACCAGGACTAGAACCAAGGATCTCTCAACTAGGACTAATGTCCACCTATGATTAATCAACACCCCCAGAAAAGAGCTAAGCACGGCCCAAAACTAAATGATAAAATACTCATAAATAAAGTCAAGCTCGTTTCCACCTGAATATATGTTCGACCACGACCAACCATGCCCAACCCGTATTTTCGGACCCGGTCCAGAAGCTAACAAGCACAACATCATTTCTGGGTGTCCATTTTATTGGTGATTCCTTTTTTAACCTTGCGAAAACATCGTCAAACAATCATCAAAGGGAACATGTACACCAAATAAACCATATTTTGCCCGCTTTAAATTCCAATCTTTGGTGGCCATTGCCAGCGTCCCTTTGCCGAATATCAAAATCTTGGAGTCCAGTGTCATGATGATTTCTTTATGTAAAGCCTTTTCAAAACCATGCCAAAACATTCTGACAAGGGCTCCCTCACAAAGTCATTTGCACAAAGTGAACAATACCCTGAATAAAGCTAATGATCTCTGTCACTTCCTGGAAATGCATCCCAATACAAGAACACTTCAAAGGCAAATTTGCCCTTTTTGAAGAGTCTCCCAAGCTTTTTGGAATATGACTGCAATACAAAAACAAAATCAAACTAATAATTGCCACATGTCCCCGAACCTGCCCGTAAATAGTACAGACCAATTCAAAAGTAGCACTGCCCCTTCAAAACAATATGGCCAAACTTCCTGGAATTTCACTGTAGTACAAAACTATTCAACTGGACTCCAAGACTAAACAATTGAACACAGTCGAACATCTTTATCTAGGCTATATAGTTGAGGGGGGGCCTATTTAATAATCAGAGGTGGGCATTCGGACCAAGATCCCTCAAACATGTCCGAGGTGAAGCCAGCCCGCCGAATGAAATCGAATACACAACAAATAAAACAAATCTTTCGCCCGGCTCAAGATTCAATTCCCTGGACAATTTTCCCTGTCATCTTGAATCTCTATCCACCCCCTGAATGAAACCGAATGAAAACAAATGAAACTTGATTTGAGCGGATTCAAGATTCACTATCGGGAAATATTGAATGCAGAAGAATGACAACTCACTCCGGTGGGTACAGATTAAAGAGTACAGGACAAGCTTCTCCAAAGAATCTTGAATCTTGAATCCGGGCGAATGAAACTGCACTTGTGGTCATTCGGTTTCATTTGGGGGGCTGGTTCCAATCAGCGAATGAATTGTCCTTCCTTTTCATTTGGTTTCATTTGGAGGGATTTCAGGTAGTCCTTGGAATTGTGCCTTCTTTGATGCTTTCCCCACAGCCCCAACAGAGGGTAAAAACGACGCTGCAGCGTTTCTCAAAATGGGCACATAGATAGATCATCAGATCTAGTGGATCAGGTAAAGACTAAGACTAGATAACCGAATTGGACACACAACTATATGGATAATCACTGCAGCTACTTGATCCCACTAGGATCGACTTGGTCTGTTCCCGCTTGCAAGAAACGAAAGCAGCGCATCACATCTAGTCAACCCGACTAGCTGCAGCTGAGCCGGATGAACGCACCCCAGGGTTTCATGGGAACCAGTCGGAAGGATCTGACTATCGCTCTCTCTCTCTCTCTCTCTCTCTCTCTCTCTCTCCTCTCTGCAGTCAAATCGCAGAGCCGGGATGCCATGACATGTCGACCCGAATCTAGGTGCAAAGACGACAAACACCGGCAAGTGGATGATGGCATGCCACTTAGCAAACGCACTGGTCACCCCTGAAGGGTCAGAAGCTCGCTTTGGTTACGCGCTTACTTGCACAGAGCATGCAAATAGAAATGGAGTCCTCTGAATCCCTGGATGTGAGATTCTCCGCACTCACGACCTCTCGAAACCACTGCGGATACTCTTTCTTGGCGATTTTGCCATAGTGCAAATGCGAGTGCTTAGTGCCACCTGTTGCCACACAGTATGTTTGGCATGATGGAGATCACACGCCTGCTGACCCGCTTTTGGGAACAAATGGAGCCGTCGCAACATCAGATTCCGTGATCTTGCCGTGGGCAGAGGAAAAGCGGCTGACAAAGTGGACAAACTACAATTTCATGTTGTTTGAAGCCACAACCATTCAAGTTGGCTGATGGGGCAGTCGAGACAACTAACAAGGGGCCATTTCTCTGTGCGGGACACCCATTATATATTCTTTGAATACATAACAACTTTTTAGGCAGAACATATAGTTGGACAAAAAGCAGACAGTGCATGACAATTGTTTAGGAGAGTCCGGCTAAACATACTGCATCATTAGGAGAGTCCAGTACATATATCAACTTTTCCACTACTCTTAGCTGGACTCTCCTTGCGCAGCCCCGCGCGACTTTGCCGGAACGGAACAAGCTGCCTTGAGCCGATGTCACAGCGTGCGAATGAATCCGAAGCCGATGCACATGAACTCCCAGGTGCCATTGAGTGCCACTTAAAACTTGAATGTTTAAGTTTAAGGCACACTGACCAAACAGGGCAATAGGTGTTTTCGGCTGTCACTATGTCGAACTGGTTCAATATCCAACTTAGAGTGATTGAAAGCTTACCGCGACAACACGTCTGGAAAAAAAACTTTCGCGAACAATCCGGGAGCTTCAAAAGGCTCATAATTGACGTCAGACCAAGGGACCTCAAGGCAAAACACGGTTAAACCGGTCAAAGGTTAAACATTAAGACTGCCAGCTCGCGCTACTTGTCAACGGCTCCTTCAATGCACGGGGAGTGAGAGAGAGAGAGAAAGAGTTGCGAACGGCCAAGTACCAAACCGAGCCCATGCGCAGTAAACTGACATTGATGCTCCCCAAAAAAAATCATTCGGCCAGAGTTGCAGCAGAAGGGGGAAAACGTGGAAGGGCGCAACTGATCCGAGTACCATTGGAAGAAGAGGAAACGGCAAAGGTTGAAGTCAGGATGTGTCAACATAGCGGACCCTAAAAACGGTGCTGTTCCTTATGGTTCCCCTGAACCAAGCAAGCTTTAAAAGGGCACCCTCAACAATACACAGCACTGAGTGCCTGCTCTGCTGAACACCCAATTCTTTTGGATCCCCCCCTACCATAAGAGGGATAAGAGGGGTGGGGGGTCCCCAATTCCACTTATCTAGTCTTCCCCTTACAAAGGAAATGGAACCATACATGGAATTCCAGGGGTAACCCCCCTCCCCCAAGTCCATATGTCAGGGGGTCGGACTTTATTTTGGTGCCTTCCAGAAGAAGCTGCTCAGTCCTACCTCACCCCAGGTCTTTGGGCAACAACAAAGAGTGCCCGTGACACTTTCCACCTGTGCGGAACTCCAAGGCAGGAGTTTGACCTTGTCTTTGTTCCCCGCAGGAATGATCTTGCTCTCAACTTTAAGTTTCAAGTTTCAAGTCCAGAAACAGGAACTTAATTCTTCTTGATTTGCTGCTTTGGAAGCACAACACAACAACGAATCGGCCACCGAATCTGGGAGAAGCTCACACAATTTTCAGCTAGGATCCAACTGCCGGTGGTCCACGGCCACGACTCGTCGCTGGAATTCGGATTTGTAGGGTCACGGAATTCCCTTTCAAATGCTACAGGTGCTGCTGGGTTCTAGCGAAACTGCCTGCCACCTTTGGAGTATGCTTTGGAGTTTCCGGCAAAAGGAACAAATGAGGGACTCCTGACCAAGCAAATCATCTGAGCCAAAGTAAGAAACCTTCATCATGGGTGAGGTTGCGCACAGAAACCGACATTTGCATGAGACCCCACACCGATTCCAAAGCCAGGATCAGTCACGGCCGGGTTGGGGTCACGGGCTGGTGCTGCTTCACACCATTTAGTGAAACGTTTGTCAATTAAATGGAAGGCTTGCACATTTTGCGCAAGCCGGAGGAATCAGGAAGAGAAAACGTAGCAGAACATCTCTGAGAATTCAGGTGTCGCAGAAAACGAACACACGGGCGGCAATGTTCTCTTGCCACTGTTGCAATGCAATTTGTCTCCGTACCCAGAGCACAAACAAAGTCTCCTCCCTGTGCAATGTCAGCCGCACAGCTGAGCTCTAGACCTAGGCCAAAACGATCGCTTGGGAGAATCTCCAGTGGCTAGAGCAAAGCAGCTGATATGGCCATGGGTCAAAATCCCGTACCCCCAGTCAACATCGGAATCCCCAGTCAAATAGACTAAAATTGGCGCACCTACCCCAAAATGGTACAATTGGTTTTGACCCACAGCCATATGGGGTGTCCTTAAATGCCACCACAAATCATAGTCCTCCCTTTAGCGCACCAAAAGGAGGTTCCGAATGTAGCATATGATCAGGGTTCAGCCTCAACAAACCAAGCAATGGAGTTCTGGATGGTCCCGCCTAATTATAGCGAAACGGCATCGTCCACGTGAACGCCTTACGAATGCCTTACTAGAAAAGGGGAAAGCTGCTGGACATGCTTGTTGAAGCAACAAAACAAATGTGATCAGGAGAACATAACGCCCTCAACAGTGTGTTCTGTTTGTTGTTTGTTTGTTTGTTTGTTTGTTTGTTTGTTTGTTTGTTTGTTCGTTGTTTGTTTGTTTGTTTTTGTTTGTTTGTTTGTTTTTGTTTGTTTGTTTGTTTGTTTTTGTTTGTTTGTTTGTTTGTTGGTTGGTTTTTGTTTGTTTGTGTGTTTGTTGTTTGCGCCAACTTGCCTTCAGGAACCAGGAATCTCTTGACCCCCTGTTATCGGCAAACCCGCCAGGCTGCGCTCATGAATCAAGAAAGCTGCTGCTGTGCTTCTGACGTCAAATGTTCTTGGAAGAACACGCCTCATTGCGTTGATCACAGAGAGGGGGCGAACGTGAACATGTGCGCCGAGTCAAAGGGCTGCTGTTGAACCTGTGGCTTTGGATCCTTTGAATCGCCGAGCCCAACATTTAAGCCGCCAATAGTTTCTGAAGCCAGGGGTTCGTAGGGTTCGTGCATTCAATATATGGGTTCATCCGTTCAGCCTTTGACCATGCTGTTGCAACAACTGGAAAGCTCAGTTGAACCTTGATAGACAGACTTGACAGGGGTTGTGCTTTGAGAGCAGTGCCAAACTGATGCTAGGAGAATGGAATCTGCCATGTCGCGTTTCCTAACTGTGCCATGCTTACTTCAGAGATTCGGAACGTCCTGTATTGTGATGAACATATAACATATATCTAAAGGTATGCATGTATGCCTGCATGCATATGTACATTTGTGAGTGCATTCATCGTTGATGCTTCCATGATCGTCTTTATAGTGGAATACATACCTACTGCCTCAGTGTTTGTACTGCCCTGTTTGGATGTAATTCACAGACCACCTACCCGAGGCCAACCATTTTGAGGGGCTCTCAAACAGTGATCCATATGCGTTACGCGTATAAAAGGCCGCACCCTCATTGGGCCGGTGCCAAACAGAAACACTGTTAACCAACTATCCGGGCAACTCACAGGGTTTTTGTAACACGCGGACATGAGTGTAATTACATTTGGGCACGTGTCAACATAGGAGGATCACCAACCAAACTGCTGGTTTCCTTTTGGTTTGCCTTCAAACCAACCTTTTCCCTTAAAACACACACAGGCATCATCTACGCTGTGTGTCCTGATCATCTGAAGAGCTCGCACCTTGCATCCCCCAACGCACATCGAAATCAATTCCCAGGCACCACACTGATCGCATTAGCCGCCGTCACCTGGACGCCGTGTGTTCCCCCTCAAAAAGCGGCCGAGAGCAACTGCACAGTTGGTGTAAGTTCCCTGTAATCGGGTGGTTTCGATGGGTGGGTCCTTGTGGATCATTAAATGGAACCACCCCAACCTCTGAAACGCCAACCCAAACCGCCAAAGACACCGACTACATGCAAAGTGCGGCCAAACTCTTCTGCACTGGCGTGTGCCTTCAGCAAGGGTTTCCCAAGACGCGTCCACATGTGGTCAACCTCCTCTATGCCATGTGCGCATATCTGCCGCTTTTTAAATCATAAAACTCGTCCTTGTCCAAAAGGCTCGATTGAACCATTCACAGCTTCTCGACTCGTACTGTGGATGGACGAATCCTGCACCACCTAAGATTCCCTGGAATCATGAGTCCCCTGTAAATACCAACAAACAAATGGTTTCCCATGTTTCAGAGTGGTGCAGGAGTTTGTCCATCCACAGAAGTAAATCACATGTTCCACCCTGAAGAACAAGAAGCCAGAGGGTATGGCCAAAACCAGCTGGCATCAGGATTTCAGCACTTCACCCGAAATCACAAACTCACAAGAGTTTCTGCTCCTATGCCTCTAGGTGTCGCAGGATGATATGCGCGAGATCCTTCAAGAACTGATAAGGGTATACCGTTATACCTGTGCCAGCTTGGTTCTCCGAATGTTCCCGCATTGCCTTCAAGGCCCACTGCAAAGATTCAACACCTGAAATAAGGGATCCCCACGTAAACGACCTACATCATAACCTGTTTTAACCCCCAGGCTAGGACATTCGGATAGTTGCAGGCTGGTCATCTCCATACGGGTTCCACTTTCGTTCGTCCATGTCAACTTGTCAACGTGAGATCAAATGGTTTCCTTGTACACCACCGGGCTGCCCCGCTCGAAATGACTTGTTGCGCCAAGACGACATGGGAGGTTTCGCGAGTCCCCCTGAATTGCTGCAAATTGGCGAGTTGCCCCGTGTC